ATGGCTGAAGAAACTGAGGCCCAAGGGAAGTGGACCCCCTAAAATCACACAATAATAGAGGAGGAGAAACAGGGTTTAAACATGGGTTTCTCTAACTCTAAATCTTGTGCACCATGCACTGTATTTTCCAGCCTTTGTCCACGTATTGGTTAGAAATGCTCTCAGCTGCAACCAACAACGGTGCTTTGAATAAATGGGGGTTTATTTTCCCTGGCAGGAGGCGATCTCTAGGTTGGAGGCAGCACAAGGACGTCCTGGACCCAGGGTCTTCCAATCTTGCTGTCCCAAAACCCACCCCCTCCTTTTGAGTAGACTTTACTTTTTAAAGTGGTTTTCCTTTCACAGCAAAATTGAGCGAAAGGTCAAATACTTCCTAACTACCCTCTGGCTCACACATGTAGAGTCTCCTGTACTATCAAGACCCTTTACTAGCCTGGTCCGTTTGTAAATCTGGATGAACGTACATCGCCACATCATTACCGCCCGAAGTCTATAGTTTACCTTCGTGTTCCCTCTCAGCACTGTATATTCTGTGGGTTTGGACAAAAGTATAGTGACATGCAGCCCTCATTGCTGGTGTCACACAGAGTATCCCGCTGCCCTGCAAAGCCTCTGTGCTCTGTCTATTCACCCCTCCCTTCCTTCCACCTCTGGAAACCACTGGGCTTTTTATAATCTCCACGGTTTTGCCTTTTCCAGAATGTCATATAGTTGGCATCCTATAGATTATAGACTGCAAATTGGCATTTTCACTTAGTAACATGCCCTTAAGTGTCTTCCATGTCTAATACTCCGTTGTACAGATGTACCACAGTTTACATATCCATTCACCTGTGGAAGGACACCTCGTTGCTTCCAAGTTTTGGCGGTTTTGAATGAAGCTGCTATAGCCTCTCTGTGCGGTGCCCCGCCATTCTTGGCGGTTGCACTTTGACACACGTGCTTGCTGCTGCAGCTCCAGGCGTCTCACTGGCATTCATTTTTTTTTTCCTTTGCTGTTAAGTCATTTGCAGTTTTCTTTCCCTATGTTGTTTTTATAATTCTCATGTTTAACCGTTTCATAATATTTCTGTAAGTGGATAAGTCATAATGTATTTATTGGACATAGGTAGCTTCCAATTTTTCCTATATTATACATAATACTGTAATAAACATCCTTATGCTCATTTAGGTGGGTGCGTCCCAAGCATAAATTCCACAGAGAAGCATAAATTCCATAGAGAAGGTCAAAGATGTTGACATTTTTGATGCTCTTTAGTATATTCCTCTTGCTTGACAATCGTGCCGCTTTACACTGAGATACGATAGTCACACAGCTCTTCTCACAGCCACCTCTGTGCGCCTGAGAGGAAGGAGTGTGTCTCCTATTCTGTGGAGACACGGAGTAGGGAGACACGCCCAGGTCACCTAAAAGCGGATGACCAAACCGCGCTTCTGTGAGGTTCATGGCAACCACAAAGCGAAAACAGCCCAGGGGCCGGCTCCCCCTTCCAGGCCCTGGACTGTGGACCATTTGGCTGAGAGGCCGGGCCGGGCAGGGCCCGGGGAGGAGGACGCTGCCCTCACCGCCCCCACCCCATCTCCATAGACAGTGGGCCCGAGGGCCCCCTGGCTGTCACTCACCCACAGCCTCCCGGCCTCGTCAATGGAGACAAGGGGCCTGTCAGAGCCGAAGGCCAGTAAAGCCGATGAGTGGCCTTGGCTGCCAGGCGGACAATACCCAGGCTCTGGGGAGGAGAGATTAGGCCAGGCCTCGGCCCAAACTGCTCTCGGTCCATGGAGTGCTCCCACCCTCAGCACTGGCCAGCTCCAGGAGTGACCCCTGGGAAATGCGAGCCCACAGAAGGGAGGGGGCAGGGCACTGCCGAGGGTGGGAGGGTTGAACTCAGCCACAGGGATGAGACTTGGGGTCCTAAGGCAAGGAGGGCCAGGAGACACAGCGAGGAGACGGGGAGAGTTGGAGTCAGCGCCCCCGCTACGGAGGGAGAGAGCGCAGGCTTAGGAGGCAAGTTGGGCCCACGCCTCCGCTGATGTGCGAGTCTTGACTTCTTTCTGGGCTTGGTTTGCACGGGTGTAAAATGGCGCCCTGGGAGAGCCTGTCTTCAAAGAGATGGTCCCAGTGTGGGAGGGCCCGCCCAGGGCTGGGTACAGCAAGGGCTCCTCCCACTTCTCCTGCCTGCCCTCCCCACCACCTGGGGAGCCGGGGCTGGGTGTGGGCGGTCACGGACGCGGGGAGCCAAGTCCTGCATATGCCGTGCCAGCCCAGGACCCTGGGGAATGTGCGGAGTTCTGTCCCACATGAGGACCCTTATCTCCCAGTTTTTAGTTTGAAAAGCCTCAGACCTAGAGAAAAGCTGGAAGAAGACTACCCTGGACACAGAGGTAGCATCCTCTTTGATTCCCCTTCTTCCTTAAAAAGTAAACCATCATGAAATGGTAAATTTTGTTACATGTATTTTACCACAATCAGAAATGGGAGCCCTGGCCGGGTAACTAACTCGGTTATCACATACACCAAGTTTGCGGGTTTGAGGCCTGGTCAGAGCACATACAAGAATCAACCAACAAATGCATAAATAAGTGGAACAACAGATTGATGTTTGTCTCTCTCTCTCTCTAAAAATCAATTTAAAAAAATTTAGAATAAAAAAGAATGGATAGAAAGCCCAACAAACTGTTATTGCTAGCAGGCTATGTTAACAAGAGTAAATAAAGTTTTGGCAAGGATGCTAACAGGACTGTGTGCTGGGTACCAGGTACGAGCCAAGGGCGTTGTACTCTTAAGTCAAAGTCATTTAAATCCCATAGCAACCCCATGAGTTTTGTGCTATTTACCATCCACAAGTTAACAGGTGGGGAAACTGAGGCTCCGGGAAATTTCCCAACATGCCTCAGTCAGAGTCAAGATGTCCGACCTCCCTCTGCACTCCATGGCCCCACCACTTGGTCCAGGCTCTGCCCTCAGAGGCCAAAACCTTCTATTCACTCGCCCAAACAGGGCCTCTCCTTTCCTCATGTTACCTTTTGAATGATGTGGATGAAAACCAGAGATCCAGGTTCAAGGCTGGGCTCTACCACTGGCCAGCTGTCTAACTTGGGGCTAGGCCCTCGGTCCTCCTTTGGAAAACAGGTATGACGCCATCGCTCACAGTAGCTTGAAGGTAAGGAGATAAGGCTGGTGAGGGGCCAGCTCAGGGCACGTGGTGGGCTAGATACGGAGTGCTCCCTTCTTGCCCACCCTCCTGGTCTGAGATGGGATTGGGGAGTCTGAGGAGGCTTTGGCTTCCACACATTTATTTAGGATCTCAGCCTCACAAAGTGGCGTCTCTAATCGGATGACCTTATCAATGTTTTGTGGGGGGGGGATGCATGACAACAGGTCCCGCCCAGGGACTGAGGACGCCCACCCCCACTGCCCTGCAGTCCACCCCGATGCCCACATTTCTGGCTAACCCGGTGCCTGCCCAGTCCGGCGTGCAGGCGAGCAGAGGGAGGCCCCCAAGCTCTGGTGGGCTGGGGCCGAGGGGCGAGGGCTCCTAGCACCGCCCCCAGGCGCCGCCCGCCCGTACCCTTCGGTCCTGCTGCGAGGCAAAGAGAGAGCCTGCAGATGGGGCTGCTGATTTCGGTCGCCCAACACCTCATAGAATGTGAGCCGACCACAAGTGCCAGGCCAGGCGAAGTGGGTGAGGACTTAGGCTGGTAACAGGGGAGAGACCTGCGCATGAAGGGTAGGCCCTTGTCCTGGCCCATCAGCCCAGAGGGATTCCCCACTGGCCTCTTGCGGAAGGGGGATGCGCAACAGGGGCCAAACTTTGCATCTCTGTCTTCGTGGACAAGGACAGTGGGTGCCCAGGAGTTTGCTGGGGCAGTTACGACGCATGGGCCAGCGAGAACGGGTGAGGTAGTCAGCATTCACTAGCCCCGTGCTGTACGCTCAGCACGTGCTGGGCACCGAGCCTCAGCCCTGGACCGGACTCCTACCATTCCCCCTGCCTACGTGGTGGGGTGCAGGGATTGTGGACACAGAAGCTGTTTAAAAGCGGGGGATGGGGGGGTTGACAATAAATTGGTGCTTTTCAGACTCCAAAAAGTGTGAACCTCCTGGCCTCCCATGCTGGGGCATGTTTGATCTTCATGCTTACAGACTTTATGTGGGAGAGGGAAGGGGCATGAGTTATAACCGACGGTGGCTCCAGGCTTCCTGGTGGCATGAGGCCAGCTGGCGAGCCCAGGGGAGTGTTTTTCATCTCCAGCGTCTTCTGAGGCATATTTCTGCCTGGCCAGGGCTCTTCCCGGCCTGAAGCCCCCCTGGGCTGCCAAGAGCAGCCTCCAAATCCCCCGTGATTGGGGTTTCCCCAGTTTACTAAGCTCCTGGCTGTAGCGGGCCTGGCGCCTGGGCTGGGTGGGTGAAGGGTAGCAAACTGACCTTTTAGGTGGAGCCACTGAGGGAACGGGAGGCCAGTCCAGGCAAGAGGGACAGCATGGTCAAAGGTCTGGAGGAGGGATGCTGCCTGAGGAAATGGGGACATGGCAGCAGCCTGGGATCAGGGGAAAGGTGGCTGCGCGGGCCAGCGGTGGAACCTGTGAGGCCAGTGAGCTTAGCAGAGGCCTGGCGAAGCAGAGCCTTGAATGCCAAGCTGTGGACCCCAAAGAACTGGGGGAAGCCTACAGAGCCCTGAGCCCCCCGTCCCTCTGTGGAGGCCCTGCACTTTGTCCACCCCGGCCTCCCCAGCTTACCAGCGCGACAGTGTTTCCCAGCTGCGGCCCTGGAAGGGGCTCCTGGACCACCCCTTTGTGCAAGGACATGTCATCCCCAGTGGGTGGGCCATCCCATCCTGGGTGTCCAGCCCAGTGGGATGTGGAAGCCAAACAAGGGACAAGGTGACCCCGTAGACAGAGAGGATAGCAAGGCAGGGCACTGAGCTGATTTTCCTTGCCCAGCCCCCAGTGGCCATGCCTATGAGCCCTACAGCTCCTCGCCTGCCCCTGACGGATCCAGAATGGCCCCCTCTACCTGCTACTGCCTCCTCTACCTCCTGGTACCTGAGCTTCTGGGATGGGGGTGCAGAGGAGGGGGCCAAGGGGACTCACAGCTACCAGGGTTCCAAGTGGGCACCTCACATCGTAAGGTCCCTGCAAAGATTATGAAAGACAAGCCCCTGGCATAGAACTAGAATAAAAGCATTCACTAGGTGCTACACCTTTTTTACATTCACTCATCATCTTCTTTATTCCTCACACAGGGGAATCGGGCTCAGGGCAGGGAAGTGGCCCACCCAAGACCCCATTTCGCATGGGACTTGAACCCAGGTCTGACTGCAGAGCCTGCAGCTTCTACTGCACCCCACTGGAGCACACAGTAGGCATTCAATAGCACATGCGGGAGTGGGGACCTGACCCAGCCCCTACCTATCTTCTCCTATACGGAGTCTCTCTGGGAACCCCTCCAACTCCCCAGGTGAATCAAGGAGCCCTTGGGACACAGGTTGGTATGAGCATCCCCCAGAGAGGCTCCCCCCTTCCCCGGTTCCGCCAGCCCGTGATCCACCTGGTGCGCTGGCCTCCAATGCAAAGCGAGTGAGGAAATGCCATAATGAGTTAGCCCCTACCTGGCTGGCCCTGGGCTGAAAGTTTCATTCCTGTCCTTCTCATTCCTGCCCTTATACTGGTGACAAACAAGCTTGTCAAGGGAGAGAGATAGAATGGCCAGAGTTGGGCCCCGTCCAGCCCAGACTGACCCCAAGCCCAGGGTCCTTGCCCTCCCACCGCCATCGGACGCTCACACACACCACCGCTGTTCCCGCCCTGCAGCCCCAGTGGCCGCCAGCGAGGTGGTGGCCGCCGTAGGTGGAGTATGCAAGTTCCCAGGGCGGCGGCTGAGCTGGTGACAGGCCCAAGAGTCCTGCGCGTAGCGGTTTGGTCACTCGGCACTGGGTCCCCCAGATGGGATCCTCGCTTCATGGCTGCCCGACACCATCTGGGTGGCCCAAAGAAAGGCCCCTTTACAAAGACCCCCACGGAGGCCTGAGTGTGGGCCTGGGCAGCGGGGGAAATAGAGGATTTGCTGATGTCCAGAGATAGGAGCCCACAGTGGAAGTCCTTGTACAGTGAGCCCAGAGGAAGTCCCCGTCACAAAGAGGGTTGCCTCCTGGGCATGGGCACTGGAGACTCCACTTCATCCTTCCCGAGGGAGGTAAGGCATCCAAAGTCCAGGAGAGACGTTGCAGCTGTGCTAAAGGGGCTTTCAGAGGTAGGATGGTGCGCGCACCCGGGGAGACTGAGGTCCCAGCCCGTATATCCCTGCAGGCGCGCGAGCCGCGGCGGCGCTGGTGTTCGGGAAGAGGACCACGGACCAAGCAGCGCAGCTGCGGACACCCCTGCCCGCGCTGGAGGCGCTGACTATGTGCGTGCACGTGCAGTGGGACGCTGCCTCTGCCTACACCGCGGCGCTCTTCTCTCTTGCCGCGCCGACAGTGGCCAACGCTGCAGCTGTGCGCCTTCGCCGAGCCTGGAGGCGCCGTGCACGTCGCGCACGTGGTGCGCGGGCACCACGCGCCCTTTCTCGCTGCCTTCCGCGCGGATGGCCACTAGCACACATGTGTGCCACATGGAAGCGGCGCGGCGGGCGCTGGGCGCTGTTCGCTGACGGGCGGCGGCGCGCCGTAGCTTGGAGACTTGGCCAGCCGGTGCCACCTGGCGGCATCCTCGTGCTGGGTCAAGATCAGGATTCTCTGAATGGTGGTTTCTCGGTGCGTGACGCCTTTAGCGGCAACCTCACCCACTTCCATCTCTGGGCACGCGCGCTGAGCCCGGCCCAGCTTCATAGGGCACGGGCCTGCGCGGCGCTCCCCAGCCGCCTGCTCTTCCGCTGGGACTTGGGCGCCCTGGAACTCAAGCCCTTGCTGCTGCCGCTGGTGCGGGTCGGCCTTCTTCGTCGGGGTACGGCCCCACCCCCTGGCTGCCTGACCATGTCCTGCCCTTTGGCTCAACGCCTCGCCCTTCGGCCCCGTGCACTCCGTTCTGATTGTAAGACCCAAACCCTTCCCAACTTGGCCATGAGCATCTCTGGCCAGCCATGCCAACTCCAAGCGGTGGGTCCCTTGAGTATTCAATAACTTGAGTGGGCTCGCCCCCTAGCCACTTTGCTCCGCCGGATGCTGTCTGCAACGCCCTTCTCCCAGGTTCCCAGGCCGTGAGCCCTGGCGCCCTCTCAGGTGTGCAGGCGCCTTTAAGGCCAGTGGGTCTTGGAGACCGCTGGCGAGCGAGGATGCGGCCCTGACGCCTCTCCCACCTAGGCCAGTGCTGTCAGAGGAGTGCCCTACGTGGGACCCAGGACCTTGTGTCCAGGGCTCTTTGCCCTGCCTGCAGCCGAGGCCCTTCCTCTGCTGCTACCCGACAGGTGCACCTGGGCTGTGTCCTGGGCTCTGCTGAAGGGGCAGCTGGGTCGAGGCCAGTGTAAGCCAAGGGGGAGTGAGCAGGTGACACAGCCGGGGAGTTCAGGATCTTCTCAGAGTCTCAGGGCCTCCAGGAAGTCTAGACCACAAGCCAGAGGGACCATAAAAACCTGGGGGTGAATCTCAGCTATGTGACCTTGGGCAAGTGATTTTGCCATTCTGTGCCTCAATTTCCCCATCTAGAACACCATGTGTAAGACTCCAGACACATAGCTGGCAAAATTCTTCCTCCCCAGGGCAGCACAGGGTGGGTGGGTCCCCGCAGGGAAGAGCAGAACCCAGCCTGGCATCCCCTTTTGCAGAGACATATCGGTGGCTGCGGGACGCCGGTCATGGCCTGGCCAGGATGTTATCAGCCGAGTCAATGCCTTAGCCAACGCCATCGTGGTGCGAGCCCCCTTCCAGGGTGCTGAAGAGTCTGGGGCACTGTGGGCCACCCCCCTGCACCTCAGTCTCCTCACCTGCAAGGGGGTCACCTGCCTAATGTGTCTGCAGGAAGTAAGGTGGTTTATGCTCCCTATTTTGGAGTCCTTGAGAACTGTGGGCTTGTGACAAGTGAGACCCCCACCCACCAAGAAGACCCTGGCAGAGCCCAAGTGCGGCCGCTGGTGGATCCCCTCCTGACAGCCAGACCAGCCATAAGTGGCTCCGCCACCCACAGCTCCTCCCTGACCCTCTCTCTGAAGCCCATGGAGATCTGTCCTCGGCCAAGGCCTCCAGCTTCCTGGGTGTCCTGGAGGGCGTCCTGGCAAAGGAGGCACCTCCTTGGGGCCAGCTGGGCTGCTGGCTGTCGTGCTCTTCCTAAACAGGGTGACAGCCTTCAGGGCTGGGGAGCCAGCGCCCGTGGCAGGCCCCTCGGAGGAGCAGGGCTGAGGTGTCCTGCCTGTGGCCAGCCCAGTCCTGGAGGAGCAGCCAGCTGGTGTGTGTGGCTGCCAGTGAGTGAGGCAAGGTTGACAGAGCCGGCGGGTCCAGGGCTTGGGCTCTGGTCCCAGCTTTGCCACCAGCTTGTGATGTAGCCGCGAGCGCCATCACCCCTTCCATCAAGAGTAGTTCCTCTTCAGCCCTATTTTATAAGGGGAATTTTCGCATACAACTGCTCTTGAACAGGAGTTAAAAATGGTTAGGAGCCACTAATCAACATGGGCTTCCCCCATATCTGAGAATCTGCTGACCACCTTAAGCGGAAGGTCCTCCGGGCTGAATGTCACACCGTCTTGTCTGCCCAAAAGGCCCGGATACTCTGGAGGACACAGGAGATACTATCCAGTTGGTGAGCGTGTTGGAAACCTCATCCTAGCAGAAGTGGCTGTAGGCTTGAGAGGGATCAGCCTAAAGAAGGGAGAGAACACGGGGACATGGTCATTGCCTGCAAGTCTCTGGGGCTGACAGAGCAGCGAGTTCCCCCTCTGGCCCCAGAGGGCAGAAGTGGGACCTGGGCCTGGGGATAGGGAGGGGATGACACAGCACAGGAGGCTGGTTCCAGGGAATGGTTCACCTGTTCAGGGGGTGAGCTCCCCATCCTGGGAAGTGTGTAAGCCCACATTTGACTGGGGACCTGAGTCTCTGTGATAGACTAAGAAAAACTAGACTCTGAACCTCGGTTTTCTTCCCTGGAGAACGGGGATGATAAGCTTAGGCAATGGAGAGAGTGAACGGGGGCCTGGGGTCTTGCGCAGCACAGCGCAAGTAGGTGTCCCATTGGCGCACATTCTCCCCTCCCTGCCCTGTCCTCACCACCACCCCCCACCCAGCCTTTCTTTGGGAATCTAAAAGTTAAGCACCTATTGCAGCTCTAGCACTGAGTCAGACCAAAGAAAGGGGAGGCATGGCCCTGCCTTCAGAGGGGGGCCCGGTTGGCACAGGACAGGCCAGCAGACAGGCCACCTCACAGGCCCCTGAGAATGTGTTGACCTGGAGGTCAGGGCCGGTGGGGTACAGAATGTGAGAGGGAGCTGAGATGTGACTTCCTCCCAGGTGGTTGGTGGACGCATGGCCCTGGTGGCAAGTGTCCAGCCCCTGGCACTCCTGCTGACCACCACGCTGACCTCCGAGTGTCCCCGAGTGTACACCCAGCACCGCCATGTGCGTGAGGCTGCCACCCATCCGTCCCTCACAGCAGGGCTCAGGGCGGGGCCTGGGCTCAGACATCCCTCCTCAGCCCTGCTCGCTGGGAGCTCTCCGCACTCCCTGACACTCCACTCTGTTGCTGCCTTTGCCCATGCTGTGCCCTCCATCCAGCATATGCCCTTTCTCTCTTGACTTAGCAAACTCCTGCATAGCCTTCAAAACCTGCTTAAGCATCGCCTCCTCCAGGGAGCCTTCCCTGGTTTTGGCTCTCTCCTCACAGTCAGTTCCTACCCCAGTGCCTTGAACACACCTCCTGTTGCACTTGTGGTGATCACGTAATTCCGGTAGCTTGCAGGGTGCCAGGGCCATTTCTGAGTCAATTCCACACCTCAGGGCCGGGCCCAAGCACACACTCAGCGAGTGAGCGTAGAGTGAATCGGAGAGCACTTGCGGTGGGACTTCTGGCAAGACTTGTGTCCCTCCTGTGCTCGTGGGTTTCTGATGGCTCACTGATATTCAGGTCCTGCCCATCCCCCTACCCCCCTTAACTCCTTTCTCAGCCCCCCCGCCCCCTGGGCTTGCAGAAGTCAGATCTACCCTGGGCAGGTTGCTGAACCTCTCTGAGCAGAGTAGCGGCCCCCTAGGCCTCTGGCAGGTAGAGCAGCAGCAGACTCTGTGAGCCGGACCAGCTCCGCAGAGAGACGTGCCCCCTGAGGTCCAGCCACCAGCCCCATCTGCCCGCAGGCCTGGAGGTGCGGGGCCTGCCCTTGAGAGAGGCCAGCACAGCGGGCTACGTGTTCACAGTGCCCGGTGGGTGCCCGCAGGGGCTCGGCCAGGTGCCGGTCCCCACGGCTGAGGTGAGGCGGCTCCTTGGGAAAGGTGGGTGAGGGGGCAGGAGTGATGGGGCCTCGCTGGGATCTGGGTCAAACCCCACTGTCACCGCGGCCAGCTCTGCTACTTTGAATAGGTCACCTCACCTCTCAGAGCCCGTTTCCTCATCTGGAAGACGGTCATGGCAGCAGTTGCCTCGCGGGTTGTTAGGAGGTTGAAAGCACCTGCCACGTAGCAGGCGTTCCCTTAGTCTCCCCCACTGAACCCCACACGGCTCCCCTCCGAAGTGGGTGATGGGGGGAGCTCCCACCCTGTGCCTCCCAGGGGTGGAGGATTAGAATGAGGGACACAGGGCCCCGGAGCTGCCAGGTTAGGCACATGGACTGGGGCTGGGATTCTGGCTCTGCCACTTACTGACTGTGTGGTCGTCGGGAAGTCACGTGACCTCTGTGAGCCCCAGTTTCCCTACCTGTAAGGTAGGGAGAGCTTTCCCTCAGACCAGCCCACGGTGCCTGCTCAGTCAGTCACTGGGTGGGGTCCTGGGCCCCCTCCCACCCAGCCCGGCCTCTCTGGAACCACAGCCATCCACAGCGGGTTCAGCTCAGGCATCTTCCACACACCATGGGGGGGGGCCTGGCCTAGAGCCCCAGGCCCCCAGCAGCTCTAAAGAGGCCGGCAGAGTGCAGAGGTGCATGAGCCCCACCGGCAGGCTGCCGAGACCCTGGGAGTCCTCCCCAGGGAAGTCCAGGCCTCCATCTCCTCCCGGGGCCCCTCATTCGGGTGGGCAGCTCTGCCCTTAACCCGGAACCAACCCCCCGACCCCAGACTCACACATGTTTCTGGGCCCAGCAGCAGGGTGCTTGTGGGAACATGGCCCAGCTCCTGCCTGGGCCCTGGCTTCAGTGTTGAGACTCAAGGATGGGACAGGTCCTAACTCAAATTACCAGTAAGTCCCCAAGGCAAGACTAGAGGGACCCAGGTGCCGTAATTCCCAGCACAGGGCCTTTCCTGATGTTTCTTTGGGCACAAAGGGTGTTATCACCACAGTGGCCTGAAAGAGAGGGTCCCCAGCCATGCATGACTTCTACCTCATAGCCAGGTGGTGCCCTTAAAAGCTCCCTCTTTCCCCACAGGCTCCTGCGCATGCAGGTGGGGTCAGCCATCCTCTCTTCTGAGGGGTGGGACGAGACTGGGGAAGTCACCATGGCTGCCACTTTTCACCTGTGACATGAAGCTCAGGTACAGAGAGCACATCTGGCAAACAGCCACCTTGTACACTTACTTTGTTTGGCCTCTCCCTTCTCCTATTATTTGTTCATTGCACAACCACAGTCTAAAAATGTCCAAGAAAAACCCTCATTTACAAGCCATCCCCGTTGTCCCCAAGGGGAGGGGGAGGGAAGGAACGTATCGCGCTTTATGCCGGGGCATCTTAGACAAGCCCCATTCATTCAATCCTCCGGCGGTCCACGCACATGAAAAGTGAACTCAGGAGAGGCGCTGATTGTCCTGGAGCTGGGATTTAATTACAGGTCTGGGTGACAAAAAGGAAGTGGTTCCCTTTGGAACACACAGGGAGGTGTGCAGAGGCCTCCACTGTGACCCGCTTCATGAGAGCGAAAAACGCCCTACGTGCCCATTGCAGGGGACTATTTAACAAGCCTCGTGGAGCCACACAATGGAACAGTCACCTCAAGTTAAATAAGAAGTGAGGGATTTTGCCATAAATTGACATGGAAATATCTCCAAGATATGTTGTTTAATTTTACTATCTGAAATATACAAATTATTCCTTGCTTCTGAAATGTTAGCGCATTTCAGAGAAAGCTGAAGTCTTCTATGCTCACCAGCACTACTCCTGGGCACACGCGTGCACGCCCCCCGAAGACTTTCTGAAAATCAAGCAGATTGAAGTACATAAAGCTCCATGCACTAAAGCGTCCCTTTGAAGGGACACAACCTGATGAGCTTTGACCCACGTGTGCACAGGTGGCGCCACTGCCCCAGTCAAGGCGGAGGACGTTCCTCCCCTCCCCAGACGCCTTCGTGCGCCTCCCCTGCTCTCACCCCGGAAATCACGGATCTGCTTTCTGTGGCAGGAGATCGTATCTGCCTTTTCGGAAGGTTCGCATAAATGGAAGCATGTACTGTGTACTGTGCTCTGGCTTCTTTTGCTCAGCTGGTGTTTTTGAGAATCATCTGTGTTGTTGCCGGTTTCAACAATCGCTCCCCTTTACTGCTGAGTGGAATTCCATGAGTGGTATATGGATGTACCATAATTTGTTCTTTCCAGTTACCCATTGATGGAGAGTTGAGTTGTTTCCACTTGGGGATACTATGAGTAAATCTGCTATAAATATTCATACACATCCTCTTGTGCACATATGAAGTCTTTCTATTGGGTAAATACCCCAAAGTGGACTTTCTGGATTGTATAAGCTTATGTTTAACTTCCTAGGAAACTGTTTTCCAAAACGGTTGTACCTTCTTACATGGTCACCAGCAGTGTATGAGAGTTTCAGATGTTGCACATCTTTTGTCTGGCTTTTTCATGTCATTCATTAGACTGGTGGGGTATTAATATCTCATTGTGGTTCCAAGTTGCAATTCCTTGAGGACCAATGATTCTGTGCATCTTCCTATACACTTGTAGCCATTCATATCTTCCTTTGTTAAATGTATGTTCCAGTCATTTCCCCAATTGTTATTTATTATTTTAATGTTTTTATTTTTGTTCAATTACAGCTGTCCCCATTCCCCTCTCTGCTCCCTGCTGCCCTTCCCACCCCCGATTTTTAAATTATTTATTTTATTTTTAAATTTTAAGAATTCTATATATATTTTGGATACAGGTCCCTTGTCATATATGCATTTTGTGAATAATTTCTCCTAGTTTATGGATTGTCTTTTCATTTTCTTAACAGTGCCTTTGGAAAGTAAATTTTTGTTTATGATGAAGCCCAACTTAACCAATTTTTTTCCTTGCAGGGTTTATGCTTTCTGTCTCCTATCTAGGACATCTTTGCCCATCCCAAGGCCACAGAAGTTCATCATTTTAGCTTTTACATTAAAGTCTGTGGTTTATTTCATTTAATTTCTGAGTACTATAGCAGGTAAGGGTTGAAGTTCATTTTCCCACATAGACCTCCACCTCCAAGCATTTGTTGTAAAGGTTATTTTTTTCTCCCATTGAAGTACCTTGTCACCTTTATCTTGTTGAAAGTCCGTTGTCTATATATGTGGGAGTCTATTTCTGGGCGCTCTGTTCCGTCTCATTGATCTCTCTGTCTCTCCCTTGCTCGGCTCACGCTGCCCCGGTGAGTGCAGCTATACGGCCAGCCTTAAAATCTGCGGGCGCACGCCCTCCAGCTTCGTTCTTTTCAAAAGTGGCTTTGGCTGTCCAAGGCTCTTTGCGCTGCCACAGAAATTTTAGAATCAGATTGTTGATGTCTGTAAAAAAGCCTCCTGGGATTCTGATTGGGATTGCATTGGACTGGCATCCTTACAACGAGTCTGTCAGCCCATGATCGAGGTATATTTCTTGACTCTTTGGATTTTCTTAAATTTATCCCATCAGTGATCCATGGTTTTCAGTCTGCAGGTGTTGAAGTATCTTGTTAAATATAGCCTCAAGTATCCCAAAGTTTGAGAGGTTATTGTAAATAGTGTTGGTTTTCTTAATTCAAATTTCATTTTTCATGACCAGTACAGAGTAACCCAGTTGGTTTTTCTATAATGACATTCTATCCTGCAGCCTTGCTAAACTCGGTACTTCCAACAGCTCCCTCATGGAGTTCTGAGGACTTTCTGTGTCTGGCTCATGCCATCTGCAGATGAAGACAGTCTCATTTTCTCCTTCTTAATCCGTGTTTTTTTCTCTTTTTCCGTCCTTGGTGCAGCAGACAGAGTCTGTTTCAGTGCTGAGTAGGAGTGGTGTGGCCGGACGTCCTTGTCCGGTCCATCGCCTCGGGGAAAGAACATTCAGCCTTTCGCCATTAAGTGCGGTGTTAGCTGTGGGCTTTTCATAGGTGCCCCTTTTCAAATTCAGTCCCCTTCAACTGAGTTTTACCAAATGTGTCATTTTCTCTCTTATTATATTAATATAGTAAATTGCATTGATTTTCAAATATTAAAGCAACCTCGGACTCCTAGAATAAACCCCATTTGCTTCTATTGCTAGATTCAATTTGTGTATACTGCTCTATTCGATCTGCTGATATTTTTAAGGGTCTTTGTGTATATGTTCATGAATATAATCTGTAGCTTTCTTTTACTGTCTTCCTCTGGTCTTGTTATCAAATTAATGCTAGCCTCATAAAATGAGCTGGGAAGTGTTCTCTCCTCTTCTGCTTTCTGAAAGAGTTTTCCAGAATTGGTACTATTTCTCCTTAAGTGTTTGATAGTAGCGAAGACCAGTGAAGTCTTTGAGGCGAGATGTTTTCTTTGTGAGAAGACTTCAAGATGAGTCCTACTTATTTAGTTGATGGAAGGTGATTTGGGTATTTTATTTCTTCTTGAGGCAGTTTGGTAATTTGTGCCTTTTAAGGAATTTGTCCATTTCCTCTAGGTTGTCAAAGTTCTAGCATAAAGTCGTTCGTAAAATTCACCTACTACCCTTTTAATACCTCCAGGGTCTAGACTGCCGTCTGCCTTTTCATTCTTGGCCAGCCTAGCTGGAATTTTACTAGTTGTGTTTATATTTTCAAAAAGCTGTTAAGATTGTATTTACATATTAACTCTACGATTTTAAGTACCTTAAAATAAAAAATAATTAAAAGTAAGAGATCGCTCTTTGTGGCAAATTTGGAAAATATAGAAAAGGGTGAAGAAGACATGATCCTCTTACTCAGAGACAGCTGCCGTGAACGTTTTGGTGTATCCCTTTTCAGTCTCCCAGGGCACACAGCACATACATTTTGTCCCCGTTTGCGAAATCAAAGCCCTTTCAGCTGAGCCAAGTAAACGCTGTGTTTTCCATCTTCCCTGCAGGTGTTTCTGTGTTATCTCAGTCACAGATGTCCCTTTGCGATCCTGTCCTTTCAGGCCTCGACTGCAGCCAAGTCCAAAACCACCACCTTCCCCAGATGATGGTCCAAAATGAACGTGACCCCTCCTGGTCATGCACGCAAAATGTCTGCAGGCCTTTCTTCTGTCACAGTTTACCCGGCCGAACGCTGTGAAAATCCTCACTCAAAATACATGTCCTGATGGCTCTTTCCTGGGGATATACAGCCAGGTTTGGGGCTACTGGACACAAATAGTGTGGTGGCTTTTGAGCCTCCAGCAATAGTGGTACTTCCGTTTGCCCCCCTTGAAGATGCTACCAGTGGTATAACAACCATCTACTTTGAAAGCGCACAGCAGCTTTCTTTGCGTCCCAGCACCTAACATAGTACCCAAGACCCAGGAAAAATATTATGAGCGATTGAATCCCTGGGATGATAATTCAGCCAACCTGAGAAGTAACATATTCTCTGGAGGCTGCACCACGGAGCAGCGGGAAGAGCGTGGAGGTGACCACATCAGGGCCTGGTCTCAGCTCTGCGCTGTGTGATCTTGAGCAGGTGAACTCCCCTCTCTGAGGCTGTCTCCTCATCTGAAATGATGGGAATTTACACCTGTCTCCTATGTTACTATGATCACCCACAGTAAATCATATGAAAGAACTTGGCACAAGACAAAGCATCATGTTCTACCAAGGTGACGGTGTCATTGTCCTCCCCAGTCGAGACAAAGAGCCCAAGTCCAGAGCTCAGGCTGCCTCCCTGCCTGGACTGGGGCGGCTGCCACTGGCCACCAGCTGTCTCCTTACTGCTGATGACATAAAATCTATATCATTGTCCTTGCTTAAGGATCATCAAGTTAGCTGTGTGTTTGATTCCAGACTCTCTGTGTGGGTTTTCTCACTTACATAGATCTTATTTTTTGCTACGTAAATGGGTCCATACTATGCATATTGTTGGGCAGCCTTTTTCTTTACCAAACAACATGGTGGGGCCCTTTCCCGTCAGTGGATAGAGACCTATCTGTTCTCACCAGGTGCAGAGCATCCAGGTGGCATAACCCCTCCCCAGAGGGTGGGCTAGCTTGTCCCCAGAATTTCCACACCACACATACTGCTCACCTTGCTTTGCTTCTCACAGACGTTTCCTCCAGCTGCTTCACCCATGACCCACGGTGGGCAACCCGCAGTCCCTCAAACGCAAGGTGGCCCCAGCTTCCGCCTGCATCCTCTGGCCCCTCTCCTTTCCCACGCACACCTGCCCTCTCCCTGTTTCCTGCCCTCAGGCTTTCCCTCAGAAGCTGGTGGGGCCCGGCTGTGCTTTCCAGAACTTCAGCATCGGGTGATCTTCCATTGTCAAGTTCTTTAACTCAGGCAATTTTTTCAAGACATCCATTCTGCTTGAGGACGAGGCAGGACTTGGGAGCGTTGAGCTTTCGTTCCCCATCTGCCGTGTGCAGGTGGCTCCAGGCCCCACTCAGGGGGAGTCTCTTGCCCAGGAGGTAGTGAGCTCCCTGTCATAGGAGGTATGCAAGCCTACTCTGTGGGATACCTAGGAGGAGACTCATCTGTTGAATAGGTCTTAGAGTTAATGATATGCCCAGGACCAGGGCTCTTGGGCATTTGAAGGGGCAGAGGAGGGCACAGGGGTTACCAAGCTCCCCCCACCGGAACTTGAGCTAGGAGAATGAACGTCATAATGAACGCAGTTAATCAGTGGCGATCACTGGTGTCAGCCCCACCCTCCTACCACTCCTGATAATGTTCAGCACATTTTACAGGTGGGAAACTGAGGCCTGAGAGCAGCAGCGACTTGTCCAAGGTCACATAGCTGGTTAGAGAGAGGGCATGGAGGGGCCCCAGGCCTCAGGGAGAGGCTTTTTTCTGCCTGCCACCAGCTTCCCGACCCATGGCCAACCCTTCTGTTCCCTCCCCGCCCCCCGGCCCAAACAGCGCGGGCTCCTGGACCACCACTGGCTGCTCTGTGCTGCCCTGCACCAGGAGTCTGCCGCCGGCTTCTGCAGCCAGAGCGCCACCTTCGCCATCCTGTTGCAGGTGTATGATGCCCAGGTGAGTGCTTGTTGGGGAGCCTGGGGGGACCAAGTCCTGAGGATGAACAGGAGGTGAGCAGAAAGGTGCTCCAAGCAGAGGGCCAGTCTGAGCAAAGGCAAGGAGGCCAGAAACGGCAGACCTGTTACCTCCTGGAACTCTGGTGTGTCTGTACCTTCCAGTGTGGGCCCAGGAGTAGAAGAGCGTAGGGGGCAAGGTGGGCGTGGGTCGGATCACACAGGGCCTCGAATGCCAGGCTTGGGGCTGATCCTGTCGCAGGGGGCAGGTCTTGGATTTGCCACAGGGAGCCCCCAGTGTAAGAGTGATGCTGGGGGCAGGGGGCGGGGGGTGGCGGGAGGGAGAACATTAAGGGGCCGCAGGCCTGGCCTAGGCTCGGGCGGGGGGGCCTGGACTGGGGACAGTGGAAAGACGAGGAAACTGGACTGAGGGACGAGGAGGGGTGGTCGGCATAAAGGGCCAGGCAACTGGGAGATGAGGGGCCGTCTCTGAGGGGCACAGGTGGGCAGCAGGTTGGGGCAGGCCACCAGTCTGAGGGGCCTCGGGGTCTGTGGCCTGGTGTCTGGGGAGAGAAGGGTCTCTGCTGGAAAGGAGGAGCCAGTAGGTGAAGCCGTGGCCAAGATGAGGTCAGAAATAAAAGGACATGGGACCAGGAGATGCCCTGAGAGGCACCAGCATTTACAGACTGCGGGCAAAGCCACGGCCGGGAGGGGCCTGGGAGAGCTGGGCTCACCAGAGCCAGAAAGACTCTGCACTAGACAGGGCCTGGTGCTCAGGAGCGCCAGCGTCCCTTAGCACGTGCAGAGCACGCTAGAAAAGCACACTATCAAATGCACTTTTCCTGTCAAAACGGAGCATGGATGTTTTGTGCCCGCCCCTCAGGGGGCGACCGTCACACACAACCCGGCCTCTCCTGGAGGGCACACCAGCTGCAGACGCTGGCTGGCCCCGCCTGCCGGGGCTGTTGCTGGCCCCGCCTCTTGGCGGAGGAGGCCACGGGGGAGCCTTGCCCCATGGGCCAGGGAGAGGCCTGACCTGGCAGGTCAGGGTGGTGACTGGGCTCTGGGCCTCTGTCCCTCCCACAGAGAGGCCCAGAGGAGGAATCCCTGCTGAGGACGCTGTCCTTCGTGGGCTGTGGCGTGTCCTGTGCACTCACCACTACCTTCTTGCTCTTCCTGGCAGCCAGGCGAGGCCAGCCCCCGACAGGGGCCTGGCACCCGGGGCCCACCCTGCCCCTCGCGGGCCTCTGAGTCCGTCCACTTGTCGGTGTCCCTCCCTGACACCAGAAGGTGGCCCGGGGCCCCCTGTGGAGCTGCCCTACTTGCTTCATTAGCCCGTCCATGGGGACCCAGGCAGACAGGGGCTGAGGGGGGGTGCAGGCTGGCGGTAGTGGCCTGTTAACCAACTCCATTGCCTGTCCACGGTCCCCAAGTCGGAGTGAGCCACAGCCCACAAGAACCTCACCTTCTCCCGGCCTCTGCCAAGGACCTCCTCATGGCCAGCAAATGGGCAAAAGCCAACAAGGTGGGCAGCCAGTGGGGGGCTTGCGAGCTGGGAGGTCCCTGGGAAAATACCTTCGGCCTTTCCTGGGTGCCCTCCCGCATCTTCTCTTGGCTTCATGTCCCTGGAGGGGAGAGGAAGGACCCTGAATGTTGGAGCTGGGCCCTGGGTGCCGCCTGGAGACCTTACCTACTGACACTTTGTTGGGTTGGTGTTGCCAGGCATGGGCCTGGGACCCGGGGTGGGGCCGCACCCACAGCTGACCTTGGTGGTACCCCGCCTCCACACACACACAGGTGGCATATGTGGCCATCACAGCTGCCCTATACCTCCTCTTTTTGGTTGCATTCTCCTGGATGTTGGTGGAGGGACGACTGCTCCGGAGCAAAGTGATGGCCGTGAGCATGCGCGCAGGCCCCAGGATGACGCTCTACCACGCCCCGCGCTTACTCTCTTCTCAACTCTGCCGGGCGTGACACTGCCGCTGCCCCACACCAAACACCACCACCACCAAACACCCTGCACCACTCGGCACCCAGCACCCATCTCCGACACAAGGTCAATTTGCCAGCTTTGTCCACCTCCTACTCTGCTCAAGCCCAGCTCTTCTTAATCCCCCTCTTCAACTACGTCAGCCTCCCACCTGCGCTGACTCCCTGACCCGTGACCAGCACACGCCACGTCCTCGCCAGCCCTCCATCTCTGCTGATTTCCAGCCCAATGCCCTCAGCTCAGCCTCAGCTCTCCCACTCCCCAGCTACATACAGGTGCAGCGTCACCCCAAAAGCAACAGCACCCCCTCCCCTCCCTGCACCTCCCCCATGTGCGTCAGCTCGCCTGCCCCTACAGGAGCGCTGTGGGCTGCAGCTCTGCGGGGCGGTGGGTCCTGGGGGGGGCAGAATGGGTGGCATGGTCCTGAGTCACCTCTTCCTCCCCCAGGCCCCCATCGTGGCCACCACCCTGGCCCTGTCCCCCGATGACTATGTGGCTGCTGGGCACTGCTGGCTCAACGTGCACACAGACACAATCTGAGCCTTGGTGGGGATGATGTCTTCGTGCTGACTGTGAGCGGAAGGCCTGGGGGCCTGGTGGGGAGGGACCGACGTGTGGGGGATGGGGAAGCCCCTCACCCACTGACACCGGGTCTCCAGGCCAACACCTGCGTCCTGGTCCGCGTGGCGATGGTCACCGTGTTCAGCGCCCAGCACCGTGCCCGCGTGCTGAGCCCGCAGCCCTGCCCGCAGCAGCAGATCAGGGTCCAGATATGGCAAGGCCCCCGCTGGAGGTCAGGGAGAAGTGGGGGAGCCAGGTGTGGGGCCCACTGGGCATGACCACGTGTGAGCCCGTGGTGGGTGGGTGTGGCCATGTGTGCTCATGGGTACAAGGCTATATATGAGCATATGGGGGCATGTGTTTATACTTGTATGCGCACTCATGCTCATGCGTGTGGATATATGCAGTAAGCATGTGCCATGGTAAGCACACGGGGATGGTAAACTGACCTGGTACATGGTTGGGGGGCGAGGTGGACACCAGCCACTGTCTTAGGGGCTCACCGCCTGCAGAAGGCACTGATGACTGGGTAGGGACAAGGTAGGAAGACCCTCAAATCAGGTGGTCCCCAGAAGTTCAGGGTCAGGGCGATGAGCTAGGTCCCTAGCCCTGCACTCTCCAAGGCCCTGCCCTGCGGGAGAGGGGGACACCACTGGCCTCTCTCCAGAAGCTCTGAGTCCTTTCTGGCTTTCCTCTCCCCACCGATCCTCTGCCAGGGTGTGCCACCCAAGCCAGTGGGTCCCCGAAAAGCCAGGGAGTTCCTGGGGTCCTGGAGGAGGGGGGAAGAGGAAGCCCTTCCAGTCTCCATGTCCTCCTGGACCCACTACCCAGGCCTCAGCCCTCCCTCTGGGCAGCCGCCACGCCCTTCCTTCCTTTGGGACTGGAACCTCATCTCCCAGGGCCATGACCCCTCCTTCACACTACCTCTGGGTCCTTGGGAAGGGACAGCCAAGTCCAGCCAAAGGCGGCAGCCACACCTGAGTCCTGAGCCGTGGTCCTGGTCGGCAGCTCCGGCCCCTCCCCAGGCCCCTCCCACACGCCGCCCCTCAGGAACCCTAGTCAGCCTGGCCTGCTCCCCACAGGCCGCCGCAAAGCCCGCTGGCCCTGCTGCTGGGCCTGCCCTGGCTGGTCGGCAAGCCGGTGCGCCTCGGCCTGGCCCGGGCCTACGCCACCGTGGGCCTCAGCTCCCTCCAGGTACCTCCAGGCCCTGGAGCCAGTGGGACTGTGCTCTGACATGCACTGGAACTCAGATAGGATGACTGGTTTGTCAGGGGATGGGGGTGGGGTGTTACCTCCCCCTCATGGGAGGCACCAGCAGCAACCAGGGATGTTGTCAAGAGGAAGGGGTAGGAACAAAACCTCAATTGGAAGGATTCCGTGGCCCATGTGATGGTCAGGGAAATGGAGGCCCAGAAAGGGAACCATTAAGGTCCCTCTGCCCTGACATTCAAGGGCGAGGTGCAAGTTCCAGCCCCAGGCTGGTGCTAGAGCCACTTTGGCCTCCTCAGGAAGCTGGGGGACAGTGGTGCAGGACAGAAGGGACGCCTCTCCCCTTGGGGTCAGTGGCCTACTCTGGGGTCAGCATGAGCTGCTCCATCGGTGAGGACAGTGGCTGAGCAAAGGGTATGGTTGGGAGGACAATGCTAGACCCACGTGAATGAAGCAGAAATGCTGGGGCTGCAGAGACCCCCTCCGCGCGCCTGTCGGGACCTGTGTCCTGCGCCGCAGAGATGGCTTGGACCGAGTCCCCGTCCTCAGGGGGTTGCGGACCTGTGGGGACCCGGACACGGACGCAGACAGCCGCAGCCCAGGGCGCTGAGTGCTGCGAGAGACGGGGCTGCAAGCAGGGTGCCCCCTGCCCCCACCCTTCCCCTCGGCCCACCCTGCACTCCACGCCCCGCACACAGGTCTTCCTGCTGTCTGTGCCTACTATTCCCAGAGCGCCCCAGGTCCCTCTCAGGGCCGAGAAGTGGGGTGGCCCACGGCTAGACAAAGGCCAGCTCAGAAACAGGTGCAAACTCCATCCTGGGCCCACACATCCCCGGAGCTGGGGACAGTTTCCTGGGCACCTCCCATGCTTTCCCCGGGAACAGTCACCTAGGATCCCTGCAGGCCCCCTCTGAGCCCCAGCTCATACTTTCACCCCTGAGCAAGCCTTACAAAAGGAGAGATTGAGACCCTGCCATGCCGCTTGCCCAAGACCTCACAGGAGAAAGGAGCAGCACTGGGGACGCTCTAGAGTCCGTGCTGTCAATCATCAGGGTGTTCGGCCTTGACCGCAGCGGAGCCGGGCGTGTCCTGGAAGAACCATGGAGGCTGGACGCAGTGTGTGGGCAGGGGGCACCCTGACCCGGCCATTTACCCATCCCTGTGAGATGCCTCGAATGCCCACCAGCTGCCGGCACTGCCCTAGGCACTGGTGATATGGCGACAAAGGATGCTGCCGAATGTCCTGTGCTGATGTGGTGGGGGAAGGTGCAGGCCGTGATCAGGGTGGGGAGGGAAGGGCGGAAGGAGGACAGAGCAGGGAGCAGGAGGGGTGCACGCGGTGCTGGGCCCCCCGGGGCCTGGCCCATGTTGTCTTCTCCCTGGGCCCTGGGGACTCGCCCCCCTCTGCCAGGCAGGTGTGGGAATGGGGAGAGGAGAGAAGAGGGCTGCTGGGGATGGGGGAGGCCATGCCCAGAGAGGGGCCTGGAGAATGAAGGAAGCTGGGGTTCCAATGCTGTTCTCAGAGAAGCGTGGCTCCCAGAGACCTGCCTGGACCTACGCAGTGGGGGGCAGGGGGTGGTGCTTCTCCCCCCTCCCTCACACCGACAAGCCCTCCTCGCAAGCCCCCAGCTCTCTCCCAGAGCTCTATGGGTTCGAGTTCCAGCTCTGCCCCCTTCGCCATGTGACCTTGCCTGGATTTCTCCGCCTGGCACAGAGTGGGGACGGCAGCATCCTCCGTTGCCATGGTGATGACTCCAGCTCCATCCCTGCCTGTGGCCCTCAGGTGGACAGAGCTGCAGGGAGCCAGTGCCACCATCCCTGCCCTCGCTGTCTCCCTCCCTTCCCCTTCTTATCCTTTCCTCTCCGTGTCTCATTTCTGTGTCTCTCTCAGAATTTTTTCTGAGAGACTCTTGGTCTCTCGGGCTCTCTCTGTCACTGTCCCCTCTCTCTGTCCCCTTCTCTGACATGGATCCCACCTGGCTCTTCCTGGGCCTCTCTCTCTATCCCCTCCTTTGTGGATCTTTGAGCCCCTGCTTTTCTGTCACTCCTCTGGCTTCTCCATTTTTTGAGTGTGACCTCTCTTGCCCCTTCCCAGTCAGTCTCAGAAGGCCGGGGGCTCTGTCCCCACCCCGGGCCTCATGGTCCCTCTCTGTCAAATGGGGAGAACGAATCCATCCACCTCCACCGTGGGGCTGCTAGTGGGATGATGCCTGGTGCTCACGTGTGTGGGGAGGGAGAGCCAGCCACGCCCCTGCCACAGCGCTGAGTCCTGCCCACGCAGCCCCTCCCAGTCCCCTCAGGAGGCAAGTCCTGGCCTCATCCCCACTTTGCAGTCAAAGAGACAGAGGCTGAGAGGTGAAGGCCGCTCTGCTAGAGGCGCAGTCAGAACGCAGTCACACGTCTGCTGTCCCAGGACCTGACTTAGCCTTGGAGCTTCAGGAGGGTGTAACCCCCCTCACTTCCTGCCCCGCTGCAGCGGGGTAAGGATGGGCAGGTCTGGGGCGCGGGGCAAGGAGGGACAGAGGGCAGAGGCTGCCTGGTGGCCAGAGGCTGAAGGGGTGGCGTGGAGTGGGGCGAGGCCCCTCGTAGTTCTCTGTGCCATAGAATGCCACAGCCGCCCTCCCCAGTGCGGGGGGTACGGCTGGGCAGGGGTTGTGTTAATCGGCCTCTCTCTGAATATCTCAAAGTGTCTCTGGGTGTATCTCTGCTGCGGCCCCAAGCCAAGTGGTTGGGGAATGGGTTACAGGCAATGACACCCACACACCTGTTGAGTCTGTCCCCAGGGGCCGTACGTCTTCCTGGTCTACGTCGCCTACAATGGAGAGGTGAGTCGGGGGACATGAGTGGGGGCGGGGCGAGGGCAGCTTACCTTGGTGGGCTCCCGGCCCTCAGAGGTCAGGGGAGGGCCTGGAGCGCCCTGCAGAGGGTGATGGAGAAGAAGGCAGCGGAGGCATTCACGGTGCGGGCAGGCACGGGGATGGGGGTGGCGGGAGGCCCCACCCGCAGCCCCACAGCCGTGTCTGGTCAGCTACAACCTCTGCTTTCAGACCCGCTCTAGTCCCCAGGGCTGGGCCTCGCCCCCCCTCAGGTCCTCGGGCCCCTGGGAGGGAGCCCCAAACACCCCCGCAGGCTTGGCTCCACCTCGGAGACACTGGGCTCTCAGAGGTATGGTCTCACCACCCTCCAGCACGAGTGCTCCCCAGCGCCTCAGTTTCCCCAGTGCTCAGGTAGAGCTCGGAGGGCAACAGCACGTCTGAGAGACAAAGGACCTGAGGCCCAGGGAATTCCGCAACCGCGGGGCCTGAGGGATGGCCAATTTCCTCCCACCGCCACCAGGGGACAGGGGCCCCTGGTGCCCAGCCCAGAGGTGGCGTTTGCCCCGGGTATCTATGTGGAAGGGGCTTGAGGGGGTTCCCGAAGGCAGGTGGGTGGATAAAGACCAGGGCCCTGAGACAAGGTATGACTTGAAGGCCGGGGCCTGAGTTCCAATCCCAGCTTCTGGCTCACCTGCTGCGTGCCCTTGGGCAAGTCACCTTCCTGCTCTGGGCCTTCCATTCCCTCATCACTAACCTGGAGGGTACACCCTTGAATGGATTCTTAGGTTCTTTGATAATGAGGTTCCCACCCGCGATGAGGGAGCACAGAGAAAGCTTCCTGCCTCAGCCTCCCCAAAGTTCCCCTACTTGAGAGTGTTTCCCCCACTAGGGACCCACGGCCCCTGGATCCCCACAACCTTCTCCTCCATCGCAGAACCCACGAGACCGGTGAGGCTGGGGCGGGCGGCCAGGTTTTGCCGAGGGGCTAGCGAGTATCTCCGGCAGTGTTGGGGAAACCACGGGGATCAGGGTGGGGCTGGGGCGGTGGGCTTTCCCTGGGGATCCAAGGGCTCCCATTTCCTCCGGTACCAGGCTGGCAGGCTCTGGCAGCAGCTGGGAGGCGCTGACTGCACGCCGGTGGAGCCTGAATGCCAAGGCCATGGGGTGGAGGGAGTTATCACCAAGGTAGCCACAGGCCCCCAGGCAGAGAGGGGGGAGCAGAGGGAGCATCCGCGGGCCCCCTGACGGGCATCCTCTGCCTCAGGCTGTGGAGCATTCAAGGCTTCAGGTGGAGCTCCCGCCTCACGGGGTTGCCCTTTGCCCGAGTCACCTGGACGCCCCTTCCCCAGCACTGTGCCAGAATATTTGCCAGTGATTGAGAAGCAGCCACACCTGACCTCTCACAATTTAAGGACCCTCCCTCTCACCCTACTCCACTCCTTGTTGGTGCCCATGAGCACACTACGGGCTCTGTCTGTGCTTCCGGGAAGGGGCTACTTAGGGTCCCCTCCCCAGAGCTGGTGCCCCGGGAGGGGCAGTGAGCAAGAAGCCTACCTTCCCAGAGCCCGCCTTCCTCTGTGCGCCCTCTCTCTGGGCCCCTCCAGCCTGGCCACCTGGCCTCGCCCCCCTCCTGATACCTCCAGCTCCAAGGGGCCTTCCAAACCCAGGGAGGAGCAAGTGTCTCCTCTGAGGCCTCAGTTTTCCCACTGGGCAGCTGATGGGGGCATGGTAGGGGCACCTGTGAACAGGGGACCAGGCTGGGGTTACCGCTGTCCCTGCTCAGGTGGGGCAGCTCGGCCTGGCCTGAGAGGACGTGCAGGTATCCTGGCCTGTCGGCCTCTCTGAGCCTGAGTTGCCATGGTCCTTTTTTTTCCTTTTCTTTTTTTAGAGAGAGAGGGGAAGGGAGGGAGAAAGAAGAGAGGGAGAGAAACATCAATGAGTGGTTGCCTCTAACACACCACCCCCCACACCAGTGGTCCTGGCCCATGACCCAGGCATGTGCCCTGACTGGGAATCGAACCAGCAACCCTATGGTTCGCAGGCCGGTGCTCAATCCACTGAGCCACACCAGGCAGGGCCTGGGTTCTCAGACTCTTAAACAAGAGCCCCCCCCCCAGCCCCCGTGAGAGGAGAGCTCAGCTCCATGCCCCACCCACCCCCCACCAAGCCCCGGGACACTTTGCAGCTGGAGCAAGGTGCAGGTTCACCGAGCCCTGCGGTCGGGCTCTGTACTAAACCCCCAGCATTTGCTGCCTTTATCTGGAGACCTGGGGAAGTGGAGATGCTGTCATCCTCCCATGGCGCAGAGAAGGAAACTGAGGCACAGAAAGGAGTGGGGACTAGCCAGGGTCAGCGGCAGAGGTGGGGTCAGGTCCCCGCCCCAGCAGCTGGGAAACTGAGGCACAGAGGTAGTTGCAGAGCTGCCTCCGTGTTAATGGAGGCACATTTCAACTCAGGTCTGTGTGACCTCCAAGCTCCCAGCTGGTCGTCACCCCTGCCTAGTGTCTTCAGTCCCTTGGAGTCGCAGCTTCCCCTTCTGCAAAATGGGCTGGAGGCGCCCCCTGCAGGCCTCTTGGAAAGGTGCAGGCGCCCGCGAAGGGTGTGTTCCCCGCGGGCCTGAACTCCCCCCTCCCCGCGGCACCCCCACACCGCCCTCGCCCCGCGCCCAGCCGTCGCCCCCAGGCCCCCACCGCCGCGGGCACAGCGCGTCCGCGGGAACAAGAGAGCGGCACAGCGCCTCTGCGCTCAAGTGACAGCGCCTTTGTCTCCGCTGAATGAGTGGGTTGCTAAAGCCGCTCCTAGCAACCGAGCCGCCTCCCGTCAGTCTGCCTGCGACCCGGCCCCACCCTCCGGGCGCCCTGGGCCCGCAACCCCACCCCAAGACCTACTCAGGTGGCCTGAGCCAGAGGTGTGGAGGAGTGAAGGCTGCCAGCTGTCTGTCTCTCAAAGTGCCTGCCCCGCCCACCTGAAAGCCCACGGAGCAATCGGGTCACGCAGGTGTTCTTTGGATGGAGAAACTGAGGCTCAGGGGGAATGAGGAAGACTGACCAGGGTACCAAGGCCAGGATTCCCACCCAAGGTCTTAGCCCAGCCTCAGTTCTCAGCCCCCTCCCCATCTTGGGGGGTGTCAGGTGACCCATCCTGATTCTCTGCCAGCCCAGCCCAAAGGGTGCACTTCCTTCCCAGATTTCTAGAGAGCACTTGGGGACTTCTCTCTAAGCTCCCCCTCCCGGGGACGGCTGGGAGGCCCAGATGGAGGCCCGGAGCCACCAACCTCAGCGTGGACCAGCCGCCAGAGCCCCTCCCGCCTTCTAGTGCCAACCCCCCTCCGACGCTCTCGCAAACCCCACCAAGGTCCCACAGCTCTGGCCCCCTTTCTGTTAGTGGTTGTTCCCTGCCCTCCCCTACCCCCACTATCCCTGCCACCTGCCCTGAAGTTCCAATGGCCCCTCAATATCTCTGGTAATAAACCTCTTGTGACCTGTCCCTCTTTGGAATTACCCTGGCCTGGGGATGGGGACAGGGTGCCAGGTTCCCCGGGAGGAGAGAGGGACATGGGAAGCTGCCACTTGAGTTTTGGGACTCTAGGCAGTCCCAGCATCGTCATCAGGGCAGGCGCAGCCAACACTTATTAGCACCGACCATATACCTGGCTGGTGCCGAGCCCTTTCCCATCCTAGAGCCGCAGGTCGTCACCTCAGACCGGAGGCCACCATCACCCCATTGTTGCAGAGAAACAAACAGGGGTCTCCATAGCTCAGACTGGGGTCTGCCCAGCTGGGTAGCATGGGGGTCAGGGTGGCAGTCGGTGGTGTGAAGGCAGAGTGCCCAGAGGAGGCGCCAGGGCAGGCGGGACCGGCTCAGGTCTGTGAGAGCCATGCTTCAGGAGATGCCCAAGTCCGAGTCTGGCCGTGTGACCAGCTCCTGTCACTATCCATTCTGGGGCAGGGTCCTCCTCGGAGTGTGGGTGTCTTCATGGGTAGAATGTGTGAAACACTGGTGTTGTGTTAGGGCTTGGCACCAGGGTAAGCCCAGTCAAAAGGCCAGCCAAAGGGGGTGCCCAGGGAATAGGACTTGAGGCACAGAGGCCAACTGTCCTGCTGACCTCAGCCTGGCTCAGATGCTGCTGGGGCCGAGTACCGGGGCACAGTAGAGGAGCATCAAAGCAGCCAGCCCGGGGGAGGTAGGTACTCAGGAGCGGGTGGAGGGGGAGCAGGGCTGAGAGAGCAGATGCCCTGAGAGCCTGAAAGGTACAAGCTGCACCCAGCTCCCTCTGCAACCTTTGCATCCACTCTGGGACCTGCTTGGCTTTCATCTGCAACAACATCTATAGGGGGTGGAGTAATGGGGGGGTAGACCCTCCACACAAAGACAGAGGCCTGGATATTTCATTCTGGGGATGAGGGGCAGGCGGTGCTGGTGAACCTCTGGAAGCCACTTCATCATCTGCAGAACAGGGGACATCAGGCTCACTGCGCGGGGCGGGGCGATGGGGGTCCCTACGGCCTGCCTTTGCAGTGTCCTCAGGCCCCTTCCTCTCCCTCGCAAAGGCTCCTGCCTGCCCTCCCAAAATAATGTGGGCGGCTGGTCGGGAGGAGGCGCCCAGGAGCAGGGACCATGACGTCCTTTCTCCCCTTCACCTGCTCCATACCCTTCCTCCCCACACACTCTCTTTACTCTCCAACCAAAACAACTCCTCTTGGGTCCCCAAACATCGGTGGCTGACACCCCTCCGCCTCCATGCTCGTGCTGTTTCTTCTGCCTGGACTGCCCCCAACAGCTGTCTAACTGATAAACTCCTAGGAGTCCTTCAAAACCCAGTCTGGATGACATCTCTTCTATAAAGACTTCCAGTCTCTCCACTCACTGCCCCCCACCCCGCCCACCCTCATCCCCGCCCCAGGAGCAGAATCACTCACTCCTCTTCTTCTCTGGCTCAGTTACGTGATGTAGTACATTGGCTTATGATCTGATTAAGTCCCCCGGAGGCAAGAAGCAGGGCACCTGCTTCATTTCTGAAGGTGCCAAGAGGAAAAGGGACATTTTTTTTTTTCTTTGCATACAAGCCACCGCTGAGCTGTGTGCCGAGGGCTGCTCTAGAGAGGGTGCCTTTCGCTAATTTGCACGGAGGCACAGCGGATCAGGAGTGGCCCTGGGGGTAAACGAGGCTGGTCAAGGTGGGTCAAGAGGCTTGCAGGATGGCTCTGCCGCTTCTTCAGTATGTGGCTTTGGACAGGCCATTTACCACTTTGCACCCATACCTGGGGCTGTGAAGAAGAGATGGGACAAGACTGACAATGCCGGCAAAACCCTGGGACCGCACCTGGAGCAGAGGAAGCCTCCTCAGATGTTGGGCTGCTCACTGCTGCCACCAAGTGGTGGGGGAGGGGAGGGCAAGGGAATCAATGAGAAGGCCAGGCCCTGGGGCCCTCTGCTGGCCCCCAGATGGACAGAGAGGAGCAGGCCAGTGCTCTCAAGTCAAGTGGACCCAGGTTTGATTCTGTCCCTGCAGATCGCTGACTGAGAAGCACTTGCCAAGTGTCTCTCCTGGATTATAACCCCTGTGTCATTGGGCCACTGCAGGGACAGT